GATACTGAGACATGAATGGCTGTTAAATGCTGAGAATCAGCAAATACAGGCATTACAAAGCCTGATATAACTCGTCACGTACAGTGTACGTGGCCAGTCATATAGGCACAAAGTGACAGGACGTACACTGTACGTCTCCCGTCACAAAGGGGTTAATTTACAACATACAGAAATGACCACTTTAGAAATTCTGTATGTGTGTGTTTAAAATATGCGTCTGTGCACTTAAAGGAGATCTGTCACCAATAAAATAAGTCATTCTCATGCAACACTTCACACATTAGCATGTATTAAAGTATGTCTAAAGCTAAATCTTTTAGTAGAAGGGAAGGGTTGAAGCCCCTGTCAGGTTTTGTTGTCTGTTTCCCTTCGGGGGGAGATTTTCTTTTATTTCTGTTAAAACACAACAGGAAGTGATAGGAAATCTCTCCAAAGGAAGCACATCTACTTTCCTGTTCTAGTGACAACTCAAGTTTATCTCAATTTCAGTCCCGTGACAATGGTCTTAAGGACAAATACAGACGGTGAATCTCCCCAATGCAGCAAAAGGCTGTAGTTGAACCTGACCGGTTCTAACCATTCCCCATTTTATCCAATCTTTATCCAATACAAAAGATATACTTGTGTCAGGGTCTAAAAAAGTATTATACTGTGATAACTCTCAGTATAGAGCCTATAGAGCATTGTCTGGAGCTCATGAATCCTCCTCGCTTTCTGCTGCAAAAGTCAGATATTTAAAACATGACTCTCCACTACTTTGATAGCCTCTTTCATCTAAAAAGTACTGTACTGGTTTAGACTTTTCTACATTAATTTATGTATTTAAAATCTGTCAGATTCACTCTAAGTTGAATCAAGTTGCTATTTCATATTAAGGAATACTTATGTACATTCTGTCTACATATAGATATAGTATATTATAATGCATAATATTTTTCTAAAGAACCATTTTACTCTGTGCTTTTGTACCATGTTTCTGTCAGTAAATCAAGGCTAAGGCATCATTCACTCCGCTAAGAGCCGGCCTGTACATCTCCGTGCTGCGTGCATGGCCGTATCGGCCGCTCCCAGGAAGGACAGGTGCTGCATGTGATTGTATACAGCAGCCTGTTCTTCTCTATGGGAATACACGGCCGTACGCCGCCCTACGCTCACCTGATCCGCACATCCATGCGGGTGTCCCTGCTCGGACGCAGACAGGATCCATCCTGTCTGCGTACGAGTCCAGACACCCGCACCTGCACGGATGTGCAGTTCGGGTGAGCGTACGGCCGTATACTCCCATAGAGACGAACAGGTGCGCTGTGTACAATCACACGCAGCACCTGTCCTTCCCGGGAGTGGCCTGATACGGCCATGCACGTACGGGCCAGCTCTTAGCAGTGTGAATGAGGCCTTTGAATAAATATTTGTCCTATTAGACTTATTATGTTAAATCTTTTAGTTACATGTGCCACGTCATTCGCTAAAATTTGAAATTTGTAGACAAATACATTATAACCTGACGGGACAAATGGAGGTCTAGTTTACTTTTCAAGACTCCTTAATAATGCTTATGAAATACAGACTCCGAACATGAGTGTATGAGTCATCCCAGTTCTATATCAACAACTATAATAAGTATTCTACAATTGCTACCAGTATGTTAATGAAAAGTTGAAAGTGTATTAAAAATTCAGCAAAGCTGAAGCACATTCATATTTGGAGTACATTAGTGGTGAACATGTCCGCCCAAATTTCCCCACTCTTGGCTGTATGGGTAATGAATGGTTTGTATAATTACTCGATTTACCTTGACAGCACTTTATGTCCTTTTGTCCAAGATCATTTTTGCCCCTTGTCTTTCCTGTTCTGGAAAATGAGACCTTATTTAATATAAACTCCCTAACAATGCCACACAAAGAATAGATTAGAAATTACATTTACTAAAGTGGTGAAACCTTATAATGGACACAAACCATAAATGTGTTGCATGGGGAAAAATGCTGAGAGAAGGAATGCAGATGCCATGGCCTTGTCACAGTATGATACCCAGCAGTGTTTGCTGTACAAAGATATTTTCTTTACAATGGGAGTGAAATAGCGATGGCTTTTAAAACTTTCTTTAACAAATTACTGTTTTCCTCTTACTGTTCTTTAGTTTGTACAGCAATCAAAGTAACGCAGAACATCTCTATAGAAAGGGTTTATGGTCACCTGAGGCGGGGTGGGGGCGGATTTTGCTGGTGGTCACGTTCGGGGGGTTGATGGGGTGCTGATGGTACATGCTAACGGCACTCTGGTGATGCACTGCCCAGCTATGGCCTGCGTCCTCCCTAGCTCACTAACGTCACTGGTTGCCAGAAGCTGGGCAGGATGCCAGCCAGAGCATCCCACTCAGCTCCTGGCAACCAGTGATGTCACTGGTTGCCATGAGCTGGGCACGACTCCAGCCAGAACATCCCAGGGGTAAGATGTGTATGGCTTTAACGGGCCAGCCCGCACATGACTCAAACAGATGCTGCCTGAGGCAAGAGCCTTAGCCCGCCTCATTATAGGGACAGCCCTGCATACATGTTTGCAGTAGCCAAAGGTTGTGTGATCTCTAAATGTCTCATCAGTTACTGTATTACACAACTTTCTCTTAAAAAACCCACTTAATTAACCCTGATGGAGGTACTCCATGTTTTCCAGCTCTGACTCCAGAGTATCTCTGGCTATTGGGATCCACCTCCGGCCCTTTTGTATACAGAGCTGATTGTTCAAAATCCAAAACCACCGAACCCAGACATTTCCAATTACCATAGTCCATCTGTATAAGGGCAGTTATATTTTTAAAGTCAAATTCTGGGGATGCTCTAATTAGTTAAAATGGTGTTGGATAAAATGACTGGAAAGGGAAAAACACTAAATTTTTACAAATCTTAAAAACAAAATGCTTGTGTCCTATTTGGAGTAAGTGATATATAGCTAGCTGTAATGCATATCCAACAGTGTTTATGTTTTAAATGACTAACCTAGAACAACTATGCAGATCAGAATTTGACTTCCCTTATTCCCCATATATATTTTCCAGGTCCGTAAATCAGGAAGTACTGAATCCAGAGACAGGCA